CAAGTCTCTCTGCTTCATTAGAGAGTCCAGCACGAGTAAGGAGATCAACCATGCAACCATAATGTTGTACTCTTGGCTCCACTCCATAACACTCTCTCATTCTTTTTTAAAGTAAAACTGTCCATTGACATAACCGGCATGACTACCCGCAGATAATATGCCCAAGATTGTGATTTCGTCCGGCTTAGCTTTTAAAGTTTCCATCTCCCGGAATATGGTGAGAGCCTCTCCTGCATAGCCCTGTTTCGTGAAACCAGTTATCATTGTATTCCAAGAAACTATGGTTCTCTCGGGCATTTCCATGAATACCTTATAAGCATCCTTAATTTCACCACAACTGGCATACATGTGCATGAGTGCATTGTTCACGGAGATTAAAACCTGCCCACTTTCAGCAGTTATGGATTCAAGAATGTATGAATGTATCCATCTGCCCAAATCCAAGACAGCCATTTCTGCACAAGTGGCTAGAATTGAAACCAAGGTCACCTCATCAAATTCCACGCAGTTGCTGCGCATTGCACAAAAATAAGACAACGCCTCTTTGCATCTGTGGTTCTGTGCAGAACCAGCTATCATCGCAGTCCAGGAAACAACGTTCTTCTCTGGCATCTCGTGGAAAATCCGGGATGCCTCGTTGAAATTTCCACACCAAAAATACCCAGAGATCAGTGAATTCCAAGCCACAGGAAATCTTATGGTCATTTCTTCAAACACCTTACTGGCACTAACAGTCCCCTGTTGTCTACTGACGACTGAGTAGAAGTTCACCAAATTAGTTTGAACAAACACGTCAAAGAAGTACCCGTTTTTCAATATCTTGCTGTGAACCTGCTCGCCTTCACACATAAACACCCCTTTTGCACAGCTGTTGATTACATATGAGTATGTATACCCATCGGGTAAAGCAGTGGTTTTTTTCATTTTCCAGAAATACAGAACAGATAGGCTTGGCTGATCGCCATTGGCGTGACCTCTGATGATTTGATTCCAAAGAATGGTGCTTGGGTTTCGGACCCATTCGAAAACTTGGGTGGCATATGACAGTCTTTGGAAGATTATGCAGAATGTTAGGAGCTTCCCAAGAATGAAGTTTTTCTGGGTTAGCCCGGTGGTAATGATTTGAGCATGGATCTGGGTAAGCTGCTAGATGGTTTTGCAGTTCTCTAAGAGGTAAAAGAGATGTTGTTGACACGCTATTGAACCGCTGTGGTTGGAGGGAAAGGATAGCTCAACTAACATTCAATTTTTTGGGGAATCAACCTCAGACCGCTCTTCTTTTCAATGAACACGCACACATTCAGCACAAAGCATAAAAACTTACTGAGATAATTACATATTCACCATTTTAAGGTCATATTAAACTCCTTATCATATTCCATTTATATAAAGAGTATAGTTTTAATGGTACTTCGTAACAAATATCATCCCTTAATCAATTAAAATGCATACGGTATAATCATTTCATACATCAACAATGAATTATTGAAATATATAAAGATAATGATAATAAAAACACTTTGAAAAAAAATCAGTCATTGGCCTGTATCCCACAAATCTGTATGCATCATTGTCATGGGTGGAGCTAGAGAGGGGTCAGCTTAGATCCTAGCACACCACAAATTTAAAAGATGTTTTCATCTTCTATGTAAAAAGTTTCACGTAAATTTTTCCATAAGCCTTATAACTACAAATGACTCTCATTTAACAGGCAATGGTGCTACAAATACTAAATGTAAGTATGTAGTGACTAGTTGTGCAGTATTAACTATGAAGCCACATTGAGACATTGCCATTGTAGCTAGTTAAGTACTAACAAGACATATTATATTGTTATGGCTACCTTTATTGTATTGAGAATTTACAATTTGTTAATATAGCGCAATAGTGAAAGTCACTACAAGCAATAAAAAGGGCTGTAGATTTGTAGTGTATATGCAATATTGTTTTTGGGTCTATTATTTGAAATTATTTGAATTCCCAAATGATGAAATTATAAAATCACTACCAAGTCTACCATTATACTTCATATTCTACTAGTGTATTCTACCATCAGCTGATTCTATCTACATTTCAACCTAACTCGAACTTTATATAGAGACTTTTGTAGTCTTGTACATTGCTTGTTTGATGAATTACTCCGTATAACTCAATTTAAAGAAAATGAACAAATGTCGGGGGAACTAATATCAGTCCATATTGAAAGCAAACAATTCAGCTTTCAAAAAAAATTATAGTACATGCATTGCTCAATTGAAAAGGGATTTTATCCTCAAATTTAGTTTTGATATGGTACTGCTTTTTGGCTTCAAGATTCACTACTCCCATTTGGAAGTGGCTTATCTGTTTAAGTAATCCTAACTTCATGACATCGCCTCAACTTACACGAATAGCTCGATTTCAACAATTGGAATATTTTAAGGGATATGTAGTAAATATTGTAGGTGGGTTCTATCATCAGAGCATAGGTGCTTTTGGTTTCATTGTTATGGACTCTATTTTTCAGTGGTGCTTTTTCTCTGAATAATTTTAATTATGCTGTTTCTTTAGAATTTTACTTTCATTATATTAGCGTTATACTGCTTTTTAAAACTCTTTTAATATTTTTTTTGTTAAAAAAAGGGAACAAATATTATAAATATTCCCAAAAAATGAACAAGTATAACTGGTCACACAATAATCTAGCTACAAAAGTTTTTTTGGCAAAGCTACAAAAGTACTACGTATTTATTAAGCCAACTATTTATCAAGTCAACATTGGTAATCGTTAAATAATTTCATAGTCATTGCGTTCAATCTTTTTGATACATGATTCATGTATCAAAACATTGATTCCTGTGAGTTACTCCCTTCGTGCCAATTTCATGGTCTGATTGCAGTTTATGAATGTAAAGTAGATAATATGTAGTGAGAGAGAGAAAGTGAATGTAAAGTAGGTAATATCTTGATTAAGGTTTATGAATGTAAAGTACATAAAGTTACCCTCCACCTATATTGTGGTTTATGAAAGTCAAAACAAAAAATTACACTTTCTTAAAAATCGTGAAGTCAAACTGTGAAGTTCTTTTGGGACCAGAAAGAGTATATTTTAGTGATTGCATATATTCACTATGTTGTATACTTTGGATACAATTATTGTCAATAATAATTACAAAGTCAAATTTTTTCACGATTATTTTACAAGTAATATACCATACTATTTCGTATGGTAATGGTCATACGACTTCATGATTAGGCCTGGAGTAAGTTGGGCAAGTATTTGGAGTATTAATTTCACTCAAGCAACCACTCATGCAACTCAATTAAAACGTGTCAATTTCTCAAAAAGGAATAAAAACGTTTACTTATGAATCTTATGGTTAATGAAATTGGATCATTTAATTGAGATTTTTTCCAAATTAATGTTGAATATGAAACTATTTCCCAAACTGATGTTGGGTTAAAACTATTTCCCAAACTAATGTCCTGCTAACTAAGGTTAACAATATCGCCGTACTCATCCGCTTCTTACATGTACGAAGAAGAAGAATAGAGGCAGCACAAAATTGGAGAACAGGCGTTGGTGGGACCCAACAAAATAGAAAATCTCATGTTTTTAAAAAATGTTGTAATTTTTTTATTTGTTCTCCGATTGTTACAAAAAATATATCAAAATTCATAATTTTTTATTGGCTTTCATAGGACACCCATATTATATATATATATATATATATATATATATATATATATATATATATATATATATATATATATATATATATATATATATATAATTGAGATATAAAAAAAAATTGAAAATGTCATAATTTTTTTTATTTATACTCCGATTATTTTAAAATATTTATCGAAATTCATAACATTTTATTATTTTTTATATGACACTAATATTTCATAGGTAGGAATAAAAAAAATTAGCAATTTCAAAAATCTATTTTTTAGAGTGTTGTACCTTTTTGTATTCTGATGGTCTAAAAAAAATATCGTGTTGAGGTTTATTTCTTCAACCTTTGGGTCCAACACGTAAGCCCAAAGATTTCGAGTGGATTGTTTAAGTGTGAGTGTATAACTGATCCAACAACAAGTACGATGGGCCAAAAAAAGATTAGCAAGTAAAAGACCGGATATTATTAATGTCTAATAAACCCCCGATACAATATGCTTGCTAAAGGCCGTTCTTCCTATACTGCAGTGGAAGAGCTGCGAGTAATAAGCTAGAATGTTGAGGCTAATAAGTTGTCAACCCTTTATAATAAAATAAATGTTGCTATTTATACCACCAATCGGCAGTTGGCCATGCTGATGTGGAGAGCTGTGAATGGCATGATGTTCCAACCACCAAATATCCAGCATTAAATGCGTTTCCCGCCAGAATTTGGATTTCCCGCCTAATCCTTGGAGACGAACGTCTCCCTGGCTGGGCCGCTGGGGGCATGCTCATGGTCAGGGATGGATTTAGGGGGGGGGGGGGGCGCGGGGGGGGCGACCGCCCCCCTTTGACTTTCAAAATTTTCTACCATATATGTAATATTTTCATAAAACTTTCATAATTTAATTAGATTCGCCCCCCTTAGCTTTTAATTTTCAAAAGTAATATATAGTGTTACATAATGTAATACTTAATTGAAGATTTAAAAGAAGGAACATCTAAAATAATTACATAACTTAAACAAATAAACAATAGAATAACTCGTTGTTTAAGATTTAGGATACTTATTATATAAGAATTCCTAGTTTTGTAATGTTTAATTATTTTTATTAGAAAACAAGTACTTGATTTTGTAAAATATATATCAAACAATATTAAATATCAGACACACTAATTACACAGTTTTTAGATCACGTGAAATGAATCCAAAATATAAATGTTTATTGACATTAAATTACATAATTCATTTACTTCTTGCTTTCTAAAAATAATTTATTGCATAGATAATAAACTTTAAATTATTATAGCATTAATACAAATATTAAAATATAATATGCACAATATGTGTGTGTGTGGTGCATACTATTCTAAAAATAATAATATCATACATACTACTATTCTAATATTAAGAAAATTTCTCATGAGTCATGACTCACGAAACCCTCCTTGGTCGCCGGATAAAAATTATTAATCAATAATAACCGATTCATGAGGTTAAACAATGTAGAAGTTATTAAAAGTGTATTGGTTGGTGTCTTTGTCATCATCTAATTTAAACTTAGAATGTACAACTTAATAGATTTAAATGTCGTTGGGGATGTGTATATATTAATGTCATTTTTTGAATAAAATTAGCCGCATAGCCCTACAGTAGTGGAAAAAATTCGCTCCGCTACATTAGGGGAAAAATTTCGCCCCACTACACTAACGAAATTTTTTTCACTCCCTACACTACCGAAAAAATTCGCCCCCCTTGAATAGAAATCTTGGATCCGTCCCTGCTCATGGTGATGCTTGCAAAGGGTTGTGGGCAGTTCGTATTCTGACCCTTGGTAGAATTTGTTACATATGATTCAAAAGAACACTTAGTGAATCAGTGACCCTGGAAAATTAATTCCTAGTTGTACCAGGTCTGCAAAAGACCGTATCTCATCTCCTAAATAAACAATGAGTGTGGTTTCCAGTAGTAAACTAGATTAAAATGCAGCTTTGGTTTTTTATTTGTATAGTTTTTGAATATGCTAACATGATATTAGGGAATGATGAACATTTCTTTTTTTGATATCTCACAGAAGGGGAGTCTCGTGAATGTCTAATATGACGTGGCGTTGCCGTAAAAGTACTACCTCCATATGTATGATGGTCGCCGCCAGGGCTTATCTTTGTCGTGAAGGAGCCTTCAAACTCCAATGGAGAAATATGGTATGCTCTGCCATTGATAACTCTTATCAGAACTATCCACCAAAAGGAGAATATCCCCGAGGAGGATATCCGAATCAGCAAAATATTAACCAGAGTATCCACCATCAGTATGGAGGTGGAGGAGGATATCAGAATCAGCAAAGCCCCAACCGAAGTGTCCACCACCACTATGGAGGTGGAGGAGGATATCAGAGGCAGCAAAATCCAAACCAAAGTGTACACAATCAATATGGAGGTGAAGATGGAAACCAGAGCCAGCAAAATCCAAACCAAATTATCCACCATCAATACAGAGGTGAGAATGGGTGGAATAATCAAATCAGGAATGACATGCCTCACCAGAAGGGTGATGCCCCTGTTGTACCTCAGGAACAATGGAGGGCCCGTGAAGCTCAGAATGTCCAGCCGGCTCCTAGTGATAATACTACTTCTACTGCCAATTTGTTGTCATTGTGCAAAGGGGAGGGTGGTGCTAAGGTGAAGGATGCAATTGAATTGATGGAAAAGGGGGCAGTTGCAGATACACAATGCTTTTCGAGTCCTGTGGGAAGTCAAGGAAACTTGAGGTCAGTGCATGACCACTTTTTTAGATCAAAATGCAGGGGTGATCTCGTCTTGAACAACAAGGTCATTGACATGTACTCGAAGTGTTGGAGCATGATGGATGCACGGAGGGTTTTCGATCACATGCCTGAGAGGAGCATAGAAACATGGCATCAGATGATCAACGGTTACGCAATGAATGGGTTGGGCGATGACGGGCTGTTGTTGTATGAACAGATGAGGACAAATGGGATCCGGCCCAATGACCAAACTTTCCTTGCTGTTTTTGAGGCCTGTGCCAGGCTTTCATACATTTTGACACCATGAAGGCTGAATACGAAATCTCACCCACGACTGAACACTATTTGGGTCTGTTGGGCGTGTTTGCAAAATGTGGACATCTTGCTGAGGCTGAGGAATTCATCAAGGAACTCCTGTTTGATCCTGCAGCTGATGTTTGGGAAGCATTGATGAATTATGCTCGGATACACGGAGACATTGACCTTGAAGACCGTGCTGAACAGTTGTGGAAAGATGTTGGGGGTAATCCCCTTGAGGGGGGTAAGATTGTCCCACCACCTCCAAAGAAGCAGTCGGTCAATATGCTTGAGGGTAAAAGCAGGGTGCTTGAGTTTCGTAGCCCCACACCATACAAGGATGAAGAGAAAATGAGGGCAGCAATGAAAGAGCAGGCATATGTTCCAGACACCAGGTATGTTCTGCATGATATTGATCAAGAGGCAAAGGAGCAGGCGTTGCTTTATCACAGTGAGCGCTTGGCGATTGCCTACGGTCTGATAAGCCATAGATGCCTTTGCGTATCATCAAGAATTTGCGTGTCTGCGGGGATTATCATAATGCCATCAAGATCATGTCAAGGATTGTTGGGAGAGAGTTGATTGTTAGGGACAACAAACGTTTCCATCACTTCAAGGATGGAAAATGCTCCTGTGGTGACTATTGGTAAGTTGTTATTATCGAAACAAGCAAGAGAAATGAGTTGATTTGGCCTTTTAACTATTTCAAAGAAACATCTTGAAGACAGAGATCTCTTTGCAAGGGTGACATTCTTTCTTGTGTTTAAAGGCTGCAGCATATGATACCAATGACCATGTCAAGTGATTGTTCAGGGTGAGATATTGTTAACATTATTTTAGAGTACATGGGGGTGCATGTGTCTTATATATTGCACAGTATTCTCTTTAGTTTTCTTGCTGTCGACCTTTAGTTAGTAACAATTTTCACCTGATGGTTGTTTAAAAAAGCCCAATCCCCCTTTTCATTGAAATGCTTTTGGTTCTGGGGTGAATTGCAGTTCGTTATCTCCTCTCTTCTACCTTTGACTAAAGATATAAAGAATATTGCTCTCTTGACGCGGGAGAATGGATTAGCAGCTAATGTTCTGCCTAGGCCTGGACTCAGGCTGGGTCGGGCCCGGGCCGGGCTTAGGCCCGACGGGCCTTTTGGTTTTAAAGGGTAGGCCCGGGACCGGCCCGGGTATCCACCGGGCCCAGTCCGGGTCCGCGTCCGAGTCAAGCCTAAATTAAACTTTTTTTTTTGCTTTCCTAACTACCCCTGACCCCCCCCCCCACCCACCCACCCACCCAAACCCCTCCAAACCACCCTGCCCTGCCCAGGGGAAACCCAAAAAAAAATGAAAAAAAATATAATTGGGCCCGAACCGAGCCTGGCTGGGCCGGGTCCCCATTTGTGCAGTCCGACCAGCCCCCGTATCACCCTTGGGCCGAGTCAAAGCCCGCTACCCCGGACAGCCAGACCGGGCCGGTCCCGGGCCCGCACAGTAGTGGGCCGGGCCGGTTCACAGGCCGGGTGGCCCGACCCGAGTCCAGGCCTAGTTCTGCCTGCCGAGAAAATTACATGGCTTGTGAAGTGGTGCATGTGGCAAATTTTGCTACCATTTTTCAAAAGATCCTTTTCAACGTTATGGTACTCAACACTATAAAACCCTTATCCACTGTGGTTTACTCCATGTTTATGAGGAGAATTTTTAACTTGGTGAGTGATAGATTACATTTCCATTTTTTTTTTGTTTAAAGAATGGTGGAAAGTTTTCCATTTAAGCAACACATCCTACGCCCCAAAGATATGCACTTCCACATCCAAACGATGGACATTTGGATTTTGATCCTCTTTGAGTCTTGGAATTAAGATCATTTATTCTGAAGAAGAGTGATAAAAACGACATTCTTAATGAACACCGTGGGGTTGATGATTAGAGCATCTTTAACAAGAGCATCAATTGCTCTAAATGCACTGCCACGTCCAACTTCGGAAAAAAAATATCTCCAACATCAATATGGATGATGGTTGTGGTGATGACCTGGAATGAAAAAAAAAGGACGATGTTTATCCCACCTTCTAGTTTCAGAAAGCCCATCCCATTGCCAACTCAGCAAAAACTAAATTCTACCAAAAAAAATTCCCGTATAGGAATCATATACGTCGTACAAAATTAGGAATAAGCAAAAGCAACACTCTTTCCCTTCCGTCAAACACTTCGCCGGTCTGATTTTCTGTCAAACACACCGCCGATCGTCAGATCCCATCTTCATCCTCTCTACCGGCAAGGCGGCAACGGCCTTATCAAATTTTTCTTTAGTTATGGCGTCTCCTTCCACCATGGATTTCGGTTTCCACGCGCACAGTCCTTTTCTCAGGACCATATATCTCCCATCTTTACAGATGGAAAATAACCTTGAGAACTCAACCTTCGTAGTGCATATAGAGATGATCGGCGGGGGGAGGAGGCTACAGCTAATCGGCAGGTTGTGCCTATGTTGCACGGACACAGATACGCGGCATACGCCAATACGCGGATACACGGATATGCGGCTACAGGTACGGCGATATAGCAATTAACAAAGGATACACATCGAGGTATCGGTATCGTATACGCGGATACGGCATCTGAGTGAAGTATCGATGCAAGACTGGGTTGCGCTATTCTTTCCCAATCCTGGTGTGTAGTGCGTATGTATATAAATACTACTCTTGTATTTTACTTCCTATGTACTCCGTATACGAAAACAAAGTTAAAATTCTTCGTTGATTTATTTATATTAATATTATATTTGAAGAAATGACTTGTACATATATCTTGTTTGGTAAGAAATATAAACTATCAAAATGAGGTAAAAGGCCCAAATTATACATGATAGTTTTAATTATTTTGATAATTTAACTTTAATGTTTTTTGAATACAAATATTCGAATAGTATTCAAACAATATTCGAATATACAAACGAATCGAATACGAATATAAAATAATATTCGAACATTAAACAAATACGAATACCAATATTCGATAATTATACGAATATGAATAATATTGTTAAGTATTCGGTTTGGTACGATTCGTTTACAACCCTTACTTAAATTTAAGCTGACGTTTGTATTTACAAACACCCTTTTTAGCCATTTTTCCAGAAGCTGAGAAGTGCTTCATGAAGCAATTTCAAACATAATAATTTAAATAAGTTGCTTCAGAAGTCAGAACCTTGGGTGGAGGAAGTGATGTGCTTTTCATTAATTATCAACAATTGCTGATGGTAAGTTGTTCCTTTAAAATGTAAAATACTGAATTCACATTCCTTCAACAATTGCTTCTGCAGCCGAGTTCCTATGAAATGATTAATACTAATAAAGAATCAAGAAAATAACTAAAGCAGTCAGTGGGTTGTGTAGCTCCGGACTCCAGGGCAACAAGAACTTCAAGAGAGTGTCACATGCAATTCCTCTCCAACTATAGAAAATATTTCATCAATCCTGAAAGAAATAAGACAATGCAGAAACAATTAGGTCAATGCTAAGGCCCACATTTTAAAGATATTAACATTGAAGAAACACGAAATTCCTGGAAGCCATGGTTTGCACTAAAGACGAGTTGTGAGTTCCTACATTGAACAAACTCTTGAAGCTTGAAATGCTATATGCTAACCACATCATATGAAAAGTTGGCCCAAATGTCTGCTAAAAACTACACGTTCTATGAACCGCAAAATGACTTCAAATACAAAAATAACCATGAATGTTGACCACACTAAATGACAACAAGAAGAGAAAGAGGAAATGCTTTATTTACCTAAATCTGTCGAGTTTCACTTCTGCAAGCCACGTTGTTAGATATACCTGCAGTAAAAAAAACAAAATTGTATTACCTAGCAATAGCTTCTCCAGAGTATCAGAAGTAAATACATAAACACCATTCAGCACGTAATTAGAACCCCCACCTTCAGGTATCCATACAGACCACTTGTTTACTTTATATCACATCGTACGTAGTGCTTGAATAAGCCGCAATGGAAACGTGATGTAATTAAATGCACATGTCATGTGATTTTAGACAAAAATATTTAATTACATTACATCTTATTACTACCTCCGTCCCACTAAGATTGTCTCATTTTACCATTTCGGTCCGTCCCACTAAGATTCTCTCATACTTTATTTGGTAAAGTTTGTGTGGCTCTATATCACTCTTACTTTATTCTTACTTTATCAATTCAATATCAACCACATAAACCACTTTTTATAGATTTGTGTCATTGTGTGTCACTCTCTCTTGTCCCATTGTTAGTGGGATGGAGGGAGTATGATTTAAGCGAAATCATTTAAGTTTTGTTTAGCCGAGAGAGTCAGATTATATTCAAAGCACTTTGTATTTAAAAATAAGGAAAGAGCAAATAGCACAAACTTATATAATCCACAGTAGTTATCTACTTATCTTCACCTTGTCAAATAATAACTACATATTGTTTCCCTATGAAAGAAAATTACTGTTTTACCTGTACCTAATCCATAGAAAATGTAATTACACACTGGTTTCAAACAAGATATGTATATAGGAGTAAATCCACCAGTACCTGGAGAACATTCCTCTCAGTTTGATCAAGAGGTGAATTTGTAGGTATAGTTGATTTGCAATTTGTTCGACACGGGAAAATTGGTCCATTGGAGTACAAATCGCATATAATGAGATCACCAAACTCCCCTAAATACAACTCTTCTGACCAATGAATGCTGTTTTCTTCGTCACTAATGGAGCAAAATTCCATTATAAGTACCCGCTGCATGTCATATAAAATATAATGCAAACAGATTGGGAAAAAAGGCAAAGCAAAGTGTCAAGTAATTGAGGGCTAGATTTGACAGGTACCTTTAAATTCATTTCACATTTTAACATGTGAACCAGCTCTTCTGCCAGTTGCTCTGAAAATTATTTAAATTGTCAGTTTGTGTGCTGTGTACAATCAAGAACTATCTCTTTGAATATACAGTAAATATTTTGCTTGATGTGTAAGATAGGCATTTATTGTAATACAAAAAGTTGTCCTCATTATCTTTCATTCAATTGCAAAAGTCAAATTTCTTATTCTAAAAAACAACATTAATGATTAAAAATTGATTATGTGTGTGTGTGTGTGTGTATATATATATTATAGACTTCAAATTTTATATTTTCAATAAGTATATATCCAGATCAAGAAAAAGAGATGCATACCAAAAGAAGATATTGACCAAAAGGAGAATACAGGAACTCCACTACTGTCAATCTGATGAGAATCATCAGCATCAGGGTTGCAAGAAAACTGTACAATTGGGCTGTCACCCGTACCTTTGACATAACACCTCATAGATCTAGAAGCCTTTACCATCTGAGTTACAATGCCGACCTACATAAATAAAATAACTTACAATTCAACTATTCAAGAACATAATTGTTCTTGCAATTAAACATAATAACCCAAATTTTCAGAAAAGGATGTCAAATTTAATAAAACTACTTTGATACAGGTAATGGAAAAACCTCCTTTGACCTGTATGGCCTCCTCCAGATATTTAATCATTCTTAACTCTGAAAAATTGAATGTGTTTCAAATCTAAAAGTTTAATTCTTTTTAGTTTCTTCTTCAGAATAAATGGTTTTCACCTCCAAACGACTAGGGTTTAGGATCTAGAGGAATCCTAAGCTACTGATAAAGAAATAGTTTATTTTCACTAGATTCTGGCAAATCAGCATTCTTTGCATCAAACAGCATAAAAAGGGCAGCCCAGTGCACATGGGCGTCCTTGCGGTGGTTCATCAAATAGCATAAGAAAAAAAATCAATAGCAACAGCTCTAACTGTTAAAAAAGCCAAATCAACGTTGGTAGGCTATCAGATTTATTGAAAAAACAGCCATAAAGTTTACCATTTCTGCATACATACCATACTTTTGTATGTCAAAAAGAGCTGACCCCTATTGATCACCTAAAGAGTAGAAATAGAAAGAAATATTTGAGTAAAATAAAAATACAAAATAAAACAATTTAGTTGAAACAGATTTATAGATTCTACTTATGTGTGCCCAATTCATAAACACCTGCTGCTTGTGTAACTTGTGGCATGCTTTCTTTTGTAATTCTGGCATGTCACTCAAAATTCCAAATTCCATTGCATCCATGTACCTATACAGAAATGGCACTTTACATTTACAATCAATTCCAGAGTTCAGACTCAATATGGACACACATGCTAGCCTGTTCAATATGTACCAGTATTTATATTTTATACAAACTCATTTAGATTATATTTTCATAGACAAAAAATTGAAGTCTAAATAAAGACTAAAACAAATATGTGGAACTGCATTTGATGTGCAATGAATAGAAAAGGTGGGATTTTTATTTCCTCCTATTGTGTTTTTTACCTCTGCGAGAGATAAGAGTTTACTAGAGAAGTGGCGTGGGAGCGAGCAGTAGAGGAGGAATATAACCAGTCGTTCCATAGAGAAACCAATTTCAACCACTGGTTTTTGAGATTCCTCTGAGCGGCTGGTCTCCACTGACGCAATATTTGGGAGGACAGTGGAGTCACCGGCGGTGGTGCTGGAGATTTTGCGGCTGGGCTTTGGAGGTTGAGGTCCATGGGCTCATTCTTGTATTCCATTCTCAGTCCCCTAAATTATGGAAAAGTAAATTTCTGGCATTATCACCCAATTACACCCCAAACAAACTCTTGCCATTCTAAGCTTTAAGAAACGCTCAGATTAAAAGTTTAACCTGTCATCAAGAGGTTTCTGGTTACCATGCTTGTCTGGAACCCTCTCTTCCATCCATTCCTGCTGGAAAAACTACAATGAAAATATGGGTTTAATGCATAAAATCCCTTTGTGAGATAACATTAATAGGTGTGTTACCCTTCTTTGTTTTGAAAAGTGCATGAAATCCCTTTGTGTTTTAATCAGGGCCGGTCTTCCCTGTGCAACAGAATTTGGGCCTTTTTTTCCAAGTTCCAACACAAGTAAATTGTGTTAAAATATAAGTTATTAATGAACATAATGATAAAAATAAAAGTAGTCATTAATAAAAAAACATTTTATTTAAAAAGAGACATTCTTCGAGCTTTTTTTTAGACAAGGTTAACTTGTCAAGTCTTCTTTTCTTTTAACGCTTCTCATGACCGAATGGGTATTTATTTGGAAACATAATTACTACCAATTATTGAATATCTCCTCTAATCCTGTACATGTTTATAAATTTTAAATCAAAATTCAGTTTAAATTTAGGATGAAATCATAAAAGACTATAAGTATAATTATAATTTATGAACCTCAAGTTACCTAAATATATATATATATATATATATATATATATATATCTTACTATATATATAAAATGTGAATGACCGTTACATGGTCCTATTCCTTTAAAACAGTGCTCGACGGAAGCCTCGGGTTAGCGCAGAGAAAACTAACCGTGCCGCTTGCTCCTGTTTGCTCCTGTTCAGCTTCGCGGATGAGCTTTATCTCTTTCGACGCCAGACATAACCCTTTATTTTTCGTTTCTGCGCTCTTCTAATTCAGAGAAGCCGCCAACGTGAGTATCATCACGCAGAGGAAAGTTCGCCGCAGTCCAGACCTCTTATCCTTCCGCAACCCTCTGCATCGGGCAATCAAGTGAGTCTTTCTTCTATAATCTGCTATTTTACCGGACTCTGGTATAATCTGCTTGTGGATGGGCGACCAGACCTCTCATCGGTAAGTCTTTCTGAAACTCTAGCTATGATTTCTTCTCCTATTTTGCTTCTCTTTTGTTTCTATTTCATTTCATTTCTAGGTAGGGTTCTCGTCTGCTCCATTGCAAGAACATGGTCGTTAGCCATAATAGTGATGGTATGTTCTTTCTTCTTCTCTTATTCTTTTTGTGAAATTGTGCATTTTGAATTGATAATCAGTGCTTATTAGAGAGAGTGGCACGGTTGTTTATGCATAGAGATATGTTGTTGATTTTTGGGTTACTTTATCTATCTAATTGGATTCAATCTCTTCCATGAGATTTGTTTGAAAAGTAGAAATCTCCTGGGTTTATCTTTCTGGCCTAATTATTTGGTCACACAAAGTAACTTAGGTCCTGTTTGGGCATATTACAAAGGGTAATAGTGGACATACATTTGGAGGTCACTTTTGATTTACTCCTCCATTGAAATATTTCATCTTTAATTTTACGCTTTTAGTATTTGGTTTTCAGCTTTGAAGTGGCAGCATTTCCATAGACTTGGGGTGATTTTTATCCTTTAGATAACATGTTGGGTTCTTGTTATTACATAAGCCCTTGAATTAAGAGTTGCTAATGAACTTGATTCGGTATAGATATATCAAACGAAGGAAATGGGATGAACTGTCCCAAGAAGTCCTAATTTTATGCATTACCTTTGAATGGACAATTAAGATTTGTTATTTCCTAAAAGGTTATCCATATATTAAGGTATGTTGGTTCTGTACTTTTCTCCTTCTCCTGTATATCTGAGAGTTGTATTTGCTGTTCATTGATTGTGCAGGCCCTAACTGGATTCTAATCTAAAGCTGCTACCTATTTTACTCAATTTTATTTGGCTGTTTCTTGGATAACCACCGAGCCATGGGTTGCTTTTCTCTTCTGTACCGTAACCGTGGCAAGTTTAACTCATCCACCACACATTCATCTTTGTTTGATGAAGGTTAGGATCATAATTGTGTTAACATAATTGACTATTGATAAGCCGGACATTTTGAATTTTGAGTTTTCTAATGACTACGATCATGAACATATCTCTATCGCATAAGAAGTGTGAGCGTCTTCTCCTACAAGGATCTAAGAGTTCCCACCAATAATTTTTGTCCTACAAATAAAATCGGAGAGGGCAGGTTTGGCTCTGTTTATAAGGTAATCAAATGAAAATAGCTTTTACATTTATGTTCCTTACGGTACATGGTCAAGGTGCTCCTCTGTATGTGTTTATTCAAGTATCAGCTATGAGCATAATTTAATTAGCCTCTTTAGTTTGATCAAGCAAGGTTTCACTGCCATTACTTCATCTACCTTATGCATGAGTATATATATATATACCAATTTCTTAATTCTTAATTGTTAAACATATTTATTATCAATCCAATTAATCATTTAATTTAACTGAAAAAATAAATTAAATGAAAAAAATGCAACCATTCAACCAATAAACAACCTGAAATCAGTTTCAGTAATTCGGAACTAAACAAATCAGAAATCTGAAAATCATAACTGTGCTGAGCCTGAGTTAGTGAGTTGCTTACTGAGTTACCGCCAATACTGCGCAGTTGCGGACCTGCGGTCGTGGAGCGGTGGACAGCCTGCATTCGTGGAGGAGGGGCGCTGTGGTCCAGTGGAGGGATGGCGTTGGTGATGGGTGGCGGCGGTCGTCAGTCAGTCAGGCGAGTCGTCGCCGTCGTCGGTCCTCCTTGAGTCCTTCACTTCGTCACTTCCTCGTTTCCAAGTCTAGCGGACAGAGAGAGCGGAGGTTTCTTGGGCGCGTATAAGGGCTGTTAACGAGCAGAGAGCCCAGAACATCCAAAGCTGGAATTTGGTGTAAGGTTTCGAGCTCTAATCTCGGCTAGACGAGGAATTAGTGGTGTAAGGTTTCGAGCTCTAATCTAGACGAGGAATTAGGAGTTTTTTCCCAAAGGGTAGTCTCGGATCTTATTTCCCAAAGGACGGTGTCATCCAATTTCCGCCACATCACCTAATCCACATCATTCCACGTCATCAATCATTCCACGTCTCACGACCAAAATGGTGGATTTGCATCTTGGAACCCACTAGGCTACATTGACTTGTTGGTATGATCACACCTTTACAAGTATTTAACATCTATGTATGCAACATATTTTGATATACGCAATTCAAATATAATTTAAAATAACTCTACATTAATTAAATAAAACGAGAAACAAAAATGACAACGGCTGGACTAATCCGTTGTTTTGGTCGTGAGTTCAATTCCCGGGGGCTACGGATTTTTTTATATTTTAAAAGAATACCCATATGGCTGATGACGTGGAATGATTGATGACGGTGAATGATGTGGAGTAGGTGATGTGGCGGAAATTGGATGACAAGGAAAAAACTACCCTCATTTGATAAATAAGTTTAAAAGTACCCTTAATTGGGAAATAAGATTGGAGACTACCCTCCTTGAGGAAAAAACTCGAGGAATTAGTGGCGTAAGGTTTCGAGCTCTAATCTCGTGTTTGGTCTCATGGCTGTTCTATGTTCGAATCAATCCCTCCATAAGCTCTATAAATATGTCTAAATTTAAAATTTTAGGTAATGCTCCTTAATAGGCTCGTTAATAGGCCCGTGCTCGAATGATTCGACAAGTATTCGGTTTGTTATTAATCATATTTAAATTCATAAAATCATACTAATTATATTTAAATTTTACATATATAAAAATTACATTTATAATTTTAGGGTGTTCGATAGGCTCGAGTCTGAACCAAGCCGAATACTACTATGTTCGAGCTCGGCTCGATTAATTTTTCGAACCTAAAACTCAGCTCAGGTTCGAGTTTGAATGCTCGTTAAGCTCAGCTCGTTAGGTTCAAAACCGAGCTCGAACTCGAATAGTTCGATAAAAGCTCGGTTCGTTAACAACGGGCCGGTTTCGTTTTTTTCAGTCTGGAGCCCAGACCGGGCCAGTTTCGTTTTTTCTTTTCTTTTTTGTGTTTTCTTATTTATTTAAACCCCCACCCCCCATCCCCCAAACCCTTCTGAAACACTCAGCCCAGCCTGGGTTGGGCCGGTCCCACACAGTAGCGGGCCGGGCCGGTTCCCAGGCCGTTCGGTCTGAAGCGGGTCCATGACTAGGCGCGTTAGGAGTTAGGACGTATGCTGGACCGCTGGAGTATATTACTACTTACTTTTTCTGGAAAAAAAGAAAAAATAAGTGTATAATAAGAAATTTGGAACATTAGCCCTCTGTGATTTTTAAAAGCATCAAACCCTTTGTTTTTTAATTAATTATGCGCAAAATCACTTCTATGAACAAATTCAATTGTCAACAAATTTAACTTTTGTATGATTTATATATTTTGACATATTTACTTGCATATTCATTCAAAATATTTGTGATGGATAGTGTACCCGGGGGTAGCTTATCCGACGGTTATTGCGGGGAATAACCTAGAGAGAAGTCAGAGTAATAAAGTAAGAGAGAGAGAGAGTCAGATATGTTAATGAATTATGAGTCTGGGATCGTTTACAAGGGGAAAAGGGCTGCTATTTATAGTAGTCATAAATGCGATATGAATACACGTGTCAATTATCTAATGGGCGAGGGTCACCTCAATCGGGGTGGCACCGACATATGCATGTGCACCGCATTAAATGCGGTGGTTGGATGTGACGCCGCATTAAACGCGGTGGTTGCCTATCCCCAAAGGGAATCTTCGCCGATTGTGCTGTAGCCGAAGGCTCCTCTGTGGCCGAAGGCTCTGTGTAGTCAAAGGCTACACATGCGCCGCAGGCGTTTAGGAGCCGAAGGCTCCTATTTTCTGTCTTTCTCTCCCAGTAACTTTGTATGCCCGAATCTGGCTGCCTTGTGGAAACTGGAGCCCTCGGCTATATGGCCGAAGGCACCTATATGTGTGTCGTGGGCCTCTTCATACTTGGGCCGCCATATTAGGGCTTTGTGTGCACATTGGGCTTGATGGGCCTATGTAGGAGAAACATAAGTCTATAGGTCGGGGGGGCCTGGGCCATATACTCCATCAGAAGTCCCCCACTCCTTTTGCCGAAAGGTACTTGAGGGAAAAGGAGTAATTACTTTGATGTGTTTGTTCTGCCGAAGGCTTTCGTTTGTGGGAGATTCCTTCCATTGATCACCCGTTGTTGAGGTATTTGCCGAGGGCATTCCCTTAGTCCCTCATATGTCGAGGGCTAAGGGTTTTCTGAGAGGAAGTTCCAATGAGTTGCCTGCATGTGTCATGATGAAGGCTGCTTTTATCATCATTAGTACATTCGTTGATGCTTTGTAGGAGACTTTTCACTCTTATGTATTTCTCGAAGGGTATGTGTGGCAAGATGTATCCGGGGGGTTGGGTTTACTTTTTTGTATGTGTGAATTTTCGTTCAGTGTTGTCCCGAGGGGTACTCCCAGTCCCCCACTCCTTTAGACTGAAGGCGAGTTCGGGCTGAAGGAGTTATGATGCGATGTATTGGTGTACATTCCAGTGCCTAGGGACCTCAGTTCCATTGGGGCGTTTTAGTTTATATGTTCCAGGCTTGATGAAGGTTGCGACGATGTGTGGACCTTCAAACTTTGGTGCCATCTTGCCGCCTTCAGTGGGTTGGCTAGCATCCCTCCTTCGGAGGACGTAGTCCCCCACTTGAAATTCTCGGGAGCGGACTTTGACGTCGATGTAGCCTTTGATTTTTCGTCGGTAGTTTTCCGCCCTTAGGAAGGCTTGTTCTCGACGTTCTGAGATGAGATGAAGGTCGAGGGGCATGTTGGTGTCATTGACCTCAGGTTCGTATTGATCCACCCTTCGAGTGGGGTGAGTTACCTCAGTAGGAGCTTTTGCTTCGAATCCATAGCACAGGGAGAAGGGTGTCTCGCCTATTGCACGGCTATGGGTGATTCGGTAGGCCCATAGTATGTTGTGAAGCTCTTCTACCAAGCCCCCCCCCCTCGGCTTCTAACTTCTTCTTTAACCCTTCAAGCAAAGTCTGGTTGGCGTTCTCCACTTGACCATTGCCTTGAGGGTAGGCAACCGAAGAAAAAGTGTGTTTGATGCCCCATGCCTCTAGGAGGGCACAGAAGGGGGCTGCCTCAAACTGCGTTCCATTGTCGGAGATGATCTGTTGGGGAACGCCAAACCTTGTGAGGATGTTTTTGAGGACAAAATGACAGCATCTGGCCTCGGTGATACTGGCGAGGGGCTCGGCTTCAACCCATTTGGTGAAGTAGTTGATGACCACAATGATGTACCTGTTGTTGGAGGTACCCCTCGGCAGAGGGCCTATTAAATCAATGCCCCACCTAGAGAAGGGGATCACCGTGCTGATGGGGGCGTAATTAACTGCTGGCCTTCCGGGGGCCTTCTGGAAATGTTGGCATGCGGTGCACCTTCGGGCGAGGTTTGCGCAATCCCGGGCCATTGTAGGTGTAACGACCGTCCCCAAACGTCCATTGTAGGTGCAACGACCGTCCCCAAACGGCCATTACAATACTCAACATAAACAAGACTCAATATACAAAGCGGAGAATAAAGATATAAAGTCTTGTCATGAAAATTTATTTCTTATATACATAAGCAAACTTTATAACGAAAACGTCAAGCGACGAACAACAACACCCTTAAAAACAAGTTTATCACACATGATCAGGATTTTTAAAACAAAACATCAAACAACCCATAAAAGTATCATAGTACAAAAATTAAACATGAGACACAACCAGGTCTTCTCCGTTAACCCATCCATGGCCTCGCCACCCGCCCTAGACATTCTCTCAGGCTTCCATTCTTCATTCATTACCTATACATGAGAACACGAGAAAATAGAAATCTCGTAAACGAAATTTACTTAGTAAGTCACCATTTCATCCACTAAAATGACGGAGTCTTAGCTAGCCATAAATAGATACATCAGCTAGAATACTCAATTCACATAACATATTCACATACAAACTCATATCATACATAACACAACTTCAGGTAACAAAACCTAAGAGATTTCCTTATTCATCATTCTTTCTTCTTATCTTATTCCTTGACTTTATGGGCCCGTAGCTCGTGTCTTGGCCCCTCGCTGATGACCTCGGGTAGCTAGCCCTTAACCATCAGAAGCAACCCCAGGACTCCTCGCGGAAGGAGGTCCCGCTACGCTCAGCTCAGGTAGTTACTTGGGGGCACGACTGCCTTGTAACATTACTTATCTTTCATTTCATATAATTATCAACATAACTTCCTTTCATCGTTGGTTCTATATGAACCAAATTACAATCAAAATAAGCATGAATACCTTGCCTTTACTATTCCAATATTTTACCATTAACTCCACCTGTCAATGCCTTCATATCATTTGGAATTCACATAACATCATGTCATACATGTTTAAGTATCAAAGTAAATAGTCCACATATCATCATATCATATAACTTCAAGTATTCAAGCAAACATATCCAACTAATAATTAGCTAGACTTTCATGCTTTATTTAGAACTATAGGAAGCAGGGACGAGCTGCGCCGGAGTGATACGCAAATCCCTAAAGAATTCCAAATGGAATGGGTGCAGAGGGAAGAAAAGGCCGGCTATCACCGAATCCAGATGGACCACCACGAAGCCGGGAAAGTGGCGCATGGGGTGACGAAGATGACGATATATTGTCGTATACTCTGGGTGGATAAAAACATTGGCCGGTCATCCGCCTATCGGCATTGAGCAAGTGCTGGCACTGACGACGGATGCCGTAAAAATTGAGGGAATATCGGGGGGGGGGGGGGGGCGAGGTGGCATGCCCCGTTCGTAAAACTCTAGGTACCCCAGAAGCACACCCGTCATCCCACCGATCTTCGGCGGAGGACGAGCTGCCTCGGGCACTTGGGTTTATAGAATGAGACTCTGGTCTAAAAGAAAACATGAAAATGGACGGTACTATTGAGTGTTGATATTATAATTTGTTG